AAGAAACCAAAACTGGTGATCTTAGCAGTGCGTTAGGGTGTGTGTGGTTTCTGTGGAATGCTGATCGGTGGATCCATACTCAAAGAAAAGGACCTGTCCCTCTGCCGAAAGATTAGTGGACAAGTGTCCATTTATAAATATTAAGTTAAAATAAAAATAGTTAAAATAGATATGTTTCTTTTATTAAAAATTTTCCCCAAAATATCAGTTAAGATTAAATTCAGCTATAAAAAATAGAGCCCCAAAATAGCAGTGGCTTAAACAAATAGAATTTTATTTGTCTCTTGTAAAATCTAAAGATGCACAGTCTGAGCCAGTGTGGCAGCTGTGCTCCACAAAGACCCAAGGGTCTTGGGTTCTTTCCAGCTTATCTTCCCATGGTGTCTAGGGTGTGGCCCTCATCCTCCAGTTCTGAGTTGAAGACCAGAGCTCCAATCATTGCATCCCACCCCACGCAGCCAGGTGAATGAAAGGTTCATTCATCTGAGCACGATCCCCCACCCCTTAGCAAATGACAAGGTGTGTATCATCTCCTTTAAGGAAGGTTCCTGGGAGCTGTCCCATAACATTTATGATTACATACCATTGTCCAGAAAGTAGTGACGTAGTCACCTCTGGCCTCGAAGGAGGCTGAGAAATGTGGTCTTTATCTTTTTTTTTCTTTCTTTTCTGAGGAAGATTCACCCTGAGCTAACATCTGTGCCAGTCTTCCTCTATTTTATACGTGGGTCGCTGCCAAAGCATGGCCGCCAACCAGTGCTATAGATCTGAGCCCAGAAACCGAACCCGGCCTGCAGAAGCGGATTGCGCCTAACTTAACCAGTAGGCCTTCGGGCCCCTCCGGTCTTTTTCTTGAATAAGCTTGTACCCTCCTAAAAGTCAAGGTTCGTTATCGTGGAAGAAGGAAACAGTGGATTCTGAGGAACAACCAGCAGCCTCTGTCACATATACTTAACTTACTTTAAGAATAACTGAACAGCTGCTGGTCCCAATCGTGACAGAAAAGAGCTTCCAATATACTTCACTTACATAAGCAAACCCTCAACTGCAAGCGTAGATATCGTGTCTGTTGTTATAACCACTTCCTTGCATACATTCGAGGTGCCCTTGCCCCTCTCTCCTGTCTTACTCATCAGGCAAAAACCCCACTTTGGGTGAATCTGAATCTCTGCCTACTCTGCATCTGTCCTGAGGGCTTATACTGGGCTGAAGAAACACCCACACCCCAGCTGAATGGGCTCACTTTAAGACCAATAACCTACGTTTTCCTTGTCCATTTACTCTCCCCACTCCCCAGTGTACTAACACCTTTTCCTATGTTCTCAAATCTCCAACACCTCTCCCCTTCTCACTCTCAGCTGATGGCCCTGCTTCTTATTGCATTAAGAAAATAGAAGCATCAGAGACAACTCCACATGTTCCCACTGCTGCATCTACTGGTCTATTTGCATCTGTCTCCAGGCGCACAGTCTTGCCTCCTGTGCCTCCTATGAACAAATTGTCTGCGCTCCTCCCTGAGACCAGACCCTTCACTGGGGCCATAGATTTCATCCCCTCTTATCTATTCAAAGGATGTTGCTCCAGCATCACCCGCCCCTCCACACACACACACACAGGTCAATTTCCCCCTCTATTAGACCAGTCTCACAGGATACAAATAGGCTCTTATGGATCCATCTTGAAAACAATGAATTTTCCTTCAAGGTTGTATTGGCCTCCAGTTATCACCTCTTTTCTCTGCTTCCTTTTGCAGCAAAACTTCTTGAAAGAGTTGTCTTTGTGTCTCCACCTCCTCTCATCTGTTCTCTCTTGAACCCATTCCAATCAGCTTTTCACTATTCCACCCAATAGCTCTTCTCAAGGTCACCAGTGACGTCTTTACCAAATTCAGTAGTAAATTTGCAGTTCTTATTTTACTGAATCTTTATCACAATTGACGCATTTGATCACTCCTTCCTTCCTGAAATACCTTCTTTTCTTGGCTTCAGGGTTGCTGTCCTAACTGTCCCTTCTTGTCTCACTGGATGTACCCCTCATCTCCTTTGTACATGGGATGTACATCCGCATCTCCCCAACTCTAAACATGGGAGAGCCCAGGGCTCAGGCCTTAGTGTTTCTCTTACCTGTCTACTCTCATTCCTTCAGCAATTTCACCCAGAATCATGGCTTTAAACTCGCTATGTCTATGACTCCCAGTTTATTATCTCTAGTCTGGACCTCTCTCCTGTCTCCCAGCCTTATATGCAACTACCTATTCTCCTGTCTCTTCTTGTATGTCTAGTAGGCAACTCAACCCTAAGTACCAATTCCTGGGAAATACAGGGACCAAGAAACATGTTAAAATAGTCTATGAAAGTCCAGTCAGCAAAATCTTGATGGTGTCTACAGGACAAATGACCCAGTTTCTTCAACACACAAATTGTAAGGGGGAAAAAAGGGAAGAATGAAGGAGGAACCTGAGGATTAAAAGAGATTTAAGAGATAATGTCAGTCAGTGGCAATGTGTGGACCTTATTTGGATACTGATTCTGAGAAGTGCAAAAAACTCAGCATGAAGACTCCATTCAAACTCCTGCACCAAGAGTCTTCACCACATTTTAAAGTAGCTTCTAGCAGCTTAAGGCCACGTCCTTGGAACAACCCAGCACCTTTTGAGTTCCTGTTTTGAAAAGCTCAGAGCTGTCAAAAAAATTTGCTGTTTGTTCTAGCTAACACCTGACGTAGGCCCCTGACCTCCCTTTCTTAGAGCATTTACTGAAAAAGGGCTTATAAATGTGAATCCTTCCTCTATCCTTTTGAGATGTATGTGTCTTCTATCACTCCGGGGTGTCTGTCTCAAGGACCTGACAGCCATTACTTTGAAATGTAATCATCAGGAAGAGGAGGGCTTCTGTCCCCCAGTCTCTGGGACAATGGAACCCTAACTTCCATACTGGCCAGCTAGCAGACACTGCTGGCCTAATCACATGTGCAGTGACTAACCCTTTGTGATTTTCCACTTGAGTCCCTGCTCTCCCTCGCCCCATCCCCCCCACCCCCATGCCTCCATTCTCCCTTTAAAATACCCAGTCACCTCTTTGAACATCAGAATGGAGCTCAACTCTTTCCCCTACTGACAGTAGTTAACGGAATAAAATCTGTTTTCACCACTTTAACTAATATCTGGCTCTGTTTATCTTTGACATTTCTAACAAAATGTAAAAAAAAATTGTTAGGCAATCAGAGATATTTGTATGTTGACTAAATATTTGATAATATTAGTTATTTGTTAGGTTTTTTTGAGCTGTGCAAATGGTATTGTGGTTATATTTTTCAAAATAATAGTAAAAAAATCTGTCCAGAATGTTATTGTTTCTCACCACTTCCAGCATTATCACTCTTGACCCAACTAATATCCTTTCTTGTGGGGTTTTCACACTTGCCTCTTAAATTGTCTGCCTGCTTCTCCACCCCCTCTCACCGACCCCCCACCCAGCCCCCCAGCCTGTTCTCAACACTGCCACCAGAGCGATGCTGGTAGGATGTGCCCCGTCATGCCACTTCCCATCTCAGAGTAAAAGCCAAGTCTGTTCAATCCACAGGACCTCACCGGGTCCTCCCATGGCCTCTGTGACCTCGTGTCCCACTCTCCCGGGTCATTCCATTCCAGCGCACAGGCCTTGCTACTTTTGTAACAGAACAGGTGGGCTCCAGCTTTAGGGTTTTTGCACTATTTACCCCCATGCTCGAACCCACTTTCCTCAGACATCTTCCTGTCTTGCTTCCTTACTCCCTTCCAGTCTCTTGAGACATTCCCTGACCACCCTACATAGATTAGTACAGTCCCATCCCTGACACTCTTTACGCCCCTTTTCCTGCTTGCTTTCTTTCCATACCATTTACTACCATCTGACATATTATCTATTTCTTTTTTTGTCTGATAGTCCCACTAGAACATAAGTTGTGTGAGAGTAGAGACTGTTTTGTCTGTTACTGTATCCCCAGATGTTAAAATAGTTCCTTGCACATAATAGGCACCAAATAAATGTTCGATGAAAAAATGACTATTGTATGAAGGTTGTAAGTGTGTGCTAAAGATTTGATAACCACATTTCTGAGTGCAAAAAAGACTTTTCAAGTCTCCTAGCTTCTTCCCAAGGGAAGAATGTTCCTCACTTTTCCAGGGAGAAGAAAGGATCTCGCTGACCTTCTAGGCTGGGCTTTAGGCCAATTCAATGGACTGTCCTGGTGACTCTGCTGCTGAGTGTGTAGTTGGCACTGGTTTTCCCATAAAGGTACTCTGAACGTTCATAAACACCTGAGGGATTATACCAGCAGGGAATTGCTGCATGCAGACTAGCGTCTTTGGGACCCCAAAACCCTCTGACCCCTTTGAGCTAAAAATCTCTCTGATTGATCATTTTCCTGACTGGAGCATTTGGCAAAGGGAGGCAGCGTCCACCCGGAGGCACCCCTTGGGGGTTTTGTTGCCTCCTGATGTGGCTGAGAGGTACACCTCTTTTGAAAAGCAGCTCTTAGCTTGCTGTTGGGTTCTTATCAAAACTGAACACCTGAGAGTATTAACACACACACCCATAGAAGCCTTGAGACTGATACCTGGGGAGTAGGTTAACTCGGAACCGCAACTAACAATGTGGGAAGAGACCAACAAGCCTCATTTGTCAGATGGAAATGATATATTTAAGTCTGCAGCTGGCCTGGCCCCAGGGGCATTTTCAGCTTTACATGAAAAAAAGGCAGCGATCCCTTTGGGGAAAGGTTATCCTCCACTCCACAGCCTGAAGCAAAGGCACTGTCTCCAGGGGGCTCTCAATCCACAGAAGTTTCCCTAAATGTCTGGGCCTGGTTCACTGATGATTTGACTGAGCCAAAACCCAAGGTGTCCACAGGGCTGCTGTGGCTGCTCAGCATCAGCGCCAGCTATGTGGAATAGAAAACAGGTGTGGCCGCTCTGCTCAGCAGGCAGAACGCAAAGCCATCTGCCTAGCTCCAGCCAGTACTCCTGATGAACCTTACTAGATTTGTACTGATTCTTGGCTGTTGACAGTGGCCTAGCTATTTGGTCTGCCATTTGGAAAACTACAGACCGGCAGATTAAAGACTTTCCTCTTCGGGGCCACAAACCATGGAAACAAATCATGGCTGCTGATGGAACCGTCCAGGTCACTCATGTAGTTGCCCATGGAGAGGGTCCATTCTCTGATGAGACTGACTGAATCACTTTCACTAAACCTTGTCTTAGGCTCTGCCTTCTGAGGAATATAGGCTAAGCCACCCACTTATTAGACATTATTATTATTACTTTATTCAGTCAACTACTTTACTTATAATTCCTTTTTTCATCTTAGACTTTCTTTCTGGGGTCATTTTTCTTCATTTTAGTGTTAAGAAATTCCTTTACAGAGAGTTCGTTGGAGGCAAATCTCTCAGTTTGTGTTTATCTGAAAATGTTTTATTTTACTCTTCTTCTGGATAGAAAATTTCACTGGATATGCAATTTCTAGGTTGATAGGTTTTTTTTCCTTAACCTTTCAGGCCTGTGGATATATTATACCACTGTCTTCCAGGCTTTTTCTATTGAGCCCATTTTCATTCATCTATAGGTAATGTGTTTTTTCTCTATTACTGCTTTTTTGGATCTCTTCTTTGGCTTTGGTATTCTGCAATACAACTATGATGTGCTAAGTGTAGATTTCTTTTTATTTTTCTGTTTGAGATTCACTGGGCTGCCTGATCCTAAAGATTTGTATTTTTCATCAATCCTAAAAAATTCTCAGCCATTAACTCTTTAAATATTGTCTTTTCTCTTTTCTCCATATTATCTCCTTCTCAAACTGTGTTGTGCCTTCTATTCTAGCTGTTCTCCCTGTCTCTCAACCTCTCTTTCATATTTTCCAGCTCTTTGTCTCTCTGTGCTACATTCTGGGTAATTTCTTCAGACTTATCTTCTAATTCATGTCTCCCTTCAGCTGTGTCTATTGTGTAATTTTCCCTCTGAATATTCAATTTCAATTTTTATATTATTTATTTTTAGAAGTTTTATTTTGATTCTTTTTCAAATCTACCTAGTTAGTTTTGATAGCCTTTGCTCTTTACTCCTGGTTTTAATTGCCACCTTTATTTCTTAAAACATATTAAAGAGTTATTTATATTCTATTTCCAGTGATTCCTTTTTTGAAATCTTTATGGGCCTGGTTCTGTTCCTTGTAGTTTCTGCTTGTTTCCTAATGTGTGTTTTTAAAAATAGCTTTATTAAGGTATATTTTACATATCATAAAATGTATCCTATTTAAGTATCAATTCAATAATTTTTGATAAATTTAATGAGTGGTACAGACCTTACCAGAAGTCATGTTTAGAACATGTTCATCACTCTAATAAGATCCCTCAAGTCCAGTAACAGTTCTGGCAACCACTCTTCCACATTCTGTCTCTATACATTTGTCTTTTCTAGACTTTTCATATAAATGGAATCATACAATATATGGTCTGTTGTGTCTGGCTTCACTCACTTAACATAATGTTTTTTTGTGTGTGTGTGTGAGGAAGATCAGCCCTGAGCTAACATCCGTGCTCATGCTCCTCTTTTTGCTGAGGAAGACCGGCTCTGAGCTAACATCTATTGCCAATCCTCCTCCTTTTTTTCCCCAAAGCCCCACTAGATAGTTGTGTGTCATAGTTGCACATCCTTCTAGTTGCTGTATGTGGGACGTGGCCTCAGCATGGCCGGAGAAGCAGTGCGTTGGTGCGTGCCTGGGATCTGAACCCGGGCCGCCAGCAGCGGAGCGCACGCACTTAACCGCTAAGCCACGGGGCTGGCCCTTAACGTAATGTTTTTGAGATTCATCCATGGTGTAGCATAGTACAGTAGTCCCTCCTTATCTGTGGAGGGTATGTTCCAAGACTCCCAGTGGATGCCTGAAACCACAGATAGTACTGAGCATTATATATGCTGTTTTTTCCTGTATATACATACCTATGATAAAGCTTAATTTATAAATTAGGCATGGCAAGAGATTAACGACAATAGCTAATAATAAAGTAGAACAATTATAACAATATACACTGTAATAAAAGTTACTATAGCTCTTAACAACCACAGCATGTGATTTTTTTTCTTCCTTATTAAGTCAAGAACTTTCATCTTTTCACTTAAAGGAAGCACTTGATGACTTCTCTTTGGCATATCCAAATTGCCAGCATCACTACTCTTACACTTTGGGGCCATTATTAAGTACAATAAGGGTTACTTGAACACAAGCACTGCGGTACCCTGACAGTTGATCTGATAACCAGACGGCTACTAAGTGCTAACGGGCAGGTAGGTATACAGAGTGGAGATGCTGGACAAAGGGATGATTCATGTCCTGGGCAGGATGGAGTGTGATGGCCCAAGATTTCGTCACGCTACTCAGAAGGGCACACAATTTCAAACTTATGAATTGCTTATGTCTGGAATTTTCCATTTAATATTTTTAGTCCACAGTTGACTGTGGGTAACTGACACCACAGAGAGAGAAACCACAGATAAGGGGGGGTCTACTGTAGTTTGTTCCTTTTTATTGCTGAATCTATCCATTGCTTGGATATGCCACATTTTATTTATTTATTAACCAATTGATGGACATTTAGAGTGTTTTTAGGTTTTGGCTCTAATCAATAATCCTGCTATGAACATTTGCATGCAAATTTTGTGTGGACATATGTTTTCATTTCTCTTAGGTAGTTACCAAGAAGTGGATTTGGTTCTTACAGTAACATTTTTGTTTAACTTTTTCAGAAACTGCCAAATGTTTTCCAAAGTGGCTGCACCATTTTACATTCCCACTAGCAATGTATTAGTGTTCTGGTTTTGCCACATCTGTTTTGTGTTGGTCTTAGCCTATTGATAGTGATGCTATCAGCTACGAATGCCTGGAGGCCCTCACCTGGGCCTATAGTACTGTGGAGCCCCCACAGACATTTCCCAGACCAGATCCAACATTGTGGCTGGACTGACCCTTGTGTTTCTTATTACGATCACAAGACATACCTCAGCAACAACCATCAGGGAACTTTGAAAAAGCAAGGTTTAGGGGCTGGCCCTGTGGCATAGCGGTGAAGTTCATGTGCTCTGCTTTGGCGGCCCAGGGTTTGCCAGTTCAGATCCTGGGCGTGGATCTACGCACCGCTCATTAAGCCATGCTGAGGTGGCGTCCCACATAGAGCAACTAGAAGGATGTATAACTATGACATACAACTATCCACTGGGGCTTTGGGGAGAAAAAAGGGGAAAAAAAAGGAAGAAGATTGGCAACAGATGTTAGCCCACGGCCAATCTTCAAAAAAAAAAAAAAAGGTTTATTCTCACAGGTTCTGGGGGTACATGGCATGCCTGAGGGCCACACGGCAAGGTCATGTGGGGAGAGAGAGAGAGAGGGCGCGGGAGCACACGGACTTGGGGCTCTGCCTTTGTTAGTGTCAAGGGTGGGGTGCCTAGGTTTCGTAGGTTCACTCTTTATTAGTAAATTTAAAACATAAGAGCAGCAACTAGGGTGCAAAAAGGGAAAAAGCAGCGGCCCTCAAGAGGTCAGGGTTACCCAGGGCTTTCTAAAGCCGTGGGTGGGTGTGTCCTGGTTCCTTATCTAGTTGTTACCTGGCAACATGTTTACTCTAGATGGATGTCTTTGAAATGGGTGCCTTAGCAATCAAAAGCTTAATGTCACACACTTACACTACAGCATCTTTGCTGACGTTTATTATCATGTTAGTCAGCTAGGGTTACCATAACAAAATGCAACGGATGAGGTGGCTTAAACAACAGACGTTTTACGGATGAGGTGGCTTAAACAACATTTATTTTCTCACAGTTCTGGAGGCTAGAAGTCCATGATCAAGATGCTTGCAAATTCAGTTTCTGGTGAGACCTCTCTTCCTAACTTGTAGACAGCCAGCTTCTCGCTGTGTCCTCACCTGGTTTTTCCTCTTTGCTCACATAGAGAGATCGATCTCTGGTATCTATTCCTCTTCTTATAAGGACCTCAATCCTATTGGAGTAGGGTTCTGCCCTTACGGGCTCATTTAACCTTGATTATCTCCCTGTAGGCCTTGTCTCCAAATATAGTAACATTGGGGGCTAGGCTTCAAGATATGAATTTTGTGGAGGCAAAATGCAGTCCATAACATCCCGTCCTCTGGTATCCCAAAATTCATGTCCTTCTCACATGCAAAATACATTCATCCCATCCCAATAGCCCCAAAAGTTTTAACCCATTCCAGCATTAATTCCAAGTCCAAAGTGTCATCTAGATATCATCTAAATTGGGTATGGGTGAGACTTGAGGTATGATTCATCCTGAGGCAATATTCTTCTCTAGCTGTGAACCTGTGAAGAGGAAACAGCTTTGCCTCCTGGGTTTGTGGTGGGAGGGGCAGCCCGGATGATCTCTGAATCATCTTTGGGGTTATTCTTCCCTTTTCTTAAAGGATAAAGCATGTTGAATAGTTCTATTGTCCTGTCCTAGAATCCCAGAAGTCCAAAAGCCTTCCTTTAGAAAGACTTCCTTTATTTCATCCAGTCTTTGTTCCCTTTGGTCCAAACTGGCAGTGTCTCTGCTGGTATAATCCCATCTTTACTCATAGCTTCTGCTGAGATGGCTGATTAACTCCATAGTTAATCATGGATAATCTCTTAATGGAGTGATTGTCTAGCCACACCCTTGGTGTTCTCTCCAGAACAAGCTGAGAACTTCCCAAATGTTTAAGTTTTGGTTCCTTTTTGTCGATCTTTCCTTCAATTTCTCTCTCTCTTCTTGCATTTTACCATAAGCAGTAAGGTGAAGCCAGGTCACATCTTCAACACTTTGCTTACAAATCTCCTCAGCTAGATATCCAAGTTCATAGCTGGTAAGTTCTACCCTGCAGAAAACACTAGACCATAACGCAGTCAGGTTCTTTGCCACTTTATAACAAGAATCACCTTCCCTCCAGTTTCCAATACCATGTTCCTCATTTCATTCTGAGACCTCCCAGAAGCACCTTTAACATCTGTATTTCTACCAGCAGTCCCTTCAGGCAATCTAGGCTTTTTCTGGCGTTTACCTCAAAACGCTTCCAGTCTATACCCATCACCTAGTTCCAAAGCCACATTTTTGTGTATTTGTTACATCAGCTGGCAGATTCAGGCACCAATAAATAATAATGATAGGCAACATTTATTGCAGGCTATCTTCTTCTTGTGCTAAATACTTTACATACATCATCTCACTAATGTACATAATGTACGCTTCCATACAACCCCATGAACGGATGCTTTTATTCCTATATTATATATAAGGAAAGTGAGGCCCAGAGGTCATATAATCAGGTGTTTGAACTGTAACCTCAAGCTTATTTTTTCTTTTTCACCACCTATATCCTCTAACTGGGAAGGATGCAGCAAGTCAGTTTCAACGAGAGCACGTAAGCTAAATCTGTTTACGGGAGTTGCCCACAGAAAGCGAGTCGGGATCTTAAAAACGTAACATCTTCACGTTTAGGTTCACTCCTAACTTCTAGATCCCACTTTGGGTACTCCTTTGAGAGGAACCTCTTCATAGACCAAGGCTGCTAGAAAGATTCGAGAGAGGCTCTTTTTCCAGACAGCCAATGAGATGACTGGATCTTATGAGCGGCATGTCTTTTGGCCAATGGGTTCAGCCCTTGAGGCCCGCAGAGGACCGGAAATTGGGGTTGGAGCACGTGGGTCCTTGGGCGTGGCTGGGTGGTGCGTCGGGTTCCCCTGAGGCCCCCCGCAGCTGGTCGGGGCTGCAGCCCCGTGAGTGGTCGGTTGTGGGCGTGGAGGGCCCGGTGTGCTTCCGCTTAAGCTCGTGGCAGCTAGCAGGTCCCTCGGGCCCTCTGCGGACCCGCCTCCCAGGCGCGCGAGGCTGTGGACCCCGGGTGGGCCGGGGGCCGGGGGCCGGGAAAGGAAGGCGTTATTCGAGGCGGGGTGTGTAGGCGGAACGCAGGACCTTGACCAGGTGGGAGGTTGTGGCCCGGGTAGGGAGGGGGCTCATGTGGGGTTTCAGTGGGCTGGAGTGTTATTGGGACGGAGATGGTGGGCAGGACCTCCAGCAGAGCTGTTGGCTTTTGGAATAGTAATCTTCTCGCGTGGGAGGAGGGTAGGGTTTGCCTTCGGCCGCCAGCCTTCCGGTTAGGCCCCAGGCCTATTGCCCCAGCCGAGAGCACGCGCCCAGGGAAGGCAGGTCTCCCCAGTCCTGGGACCCTTCCCTGTTGGATCTTATAGTCAGCCAACTATCTGGTACAACTAATCTAAGGAGAAAATCAACATTGAGGGAAGGCCTTCTGGAGGAGGTGCCTGAATCTATAGAAGTGATGATGGAGGCGAGGGAGGGGTGGAGAAAGGAAGATTCCAGAAAGCTTGTAGTTGGTGGGTGTTATAGTGCCTCGCAGGGTGAACCAGTTAGGCAACTGATTGTTCTGGATTCTTTGGGTGGTGTTGGGAAGGTGTGAGCAAAGAGTCCAGGCTAATTGAAAAGTAGTTAAGCAGTTGGGAGAACTGTTGCCCTCTTTGAGGGAGGGAGGCAGGTATGTCCTGCCATTATATTGTAAAAGAGGATAGTTTATTGAAAAATGTTGCTGGCTCCTGAACTGCCTCCACCTATAATATTGACTTAGGACTTGCGTGTCAGTCTTGATGTGCATGGCCTGATTTCTCTGTAGCTAATACTTAAGTCAGGTTTGCAAAAGTTGAAAAGAGGCTCACTTAACTTTTCAGTTGAGAAAGATTCTTCAGGGATGGGCAGAGGGTCAGGACAGTGAAGAAGGAGTCCTGAAATCTATAGGTTATAAAATGATTTTGAAGAGGCCTAGTGGACTTGAGAGGTGGAGGCCAGGAAGAGCCTCAGCCCTGGTCACCGGAGGAGAAAAGAGTGTTGAGTGTCACCTGTGAGACTCAGCAGGTGTTGAGGCTCAAAGCATAAAGGGTCTGTACCCTGGAGACCTCAGTTCTGGTGGCATTTGAAAGGCGAGTTTTGTAGAAAGGAATTGGGTAAAGATTCAGAGAAGCAACTAAGGAGGTTGAGGAGGAGATGAAATAGTGTAATGCAGTAATAGACTAGAAAAAAATTAGGACTCTGGTAGAGGAAAGAGAGGCGCAAAACCAATCAATATTTATTGACAGAATAATTTTATGATATGGCTATGTTAACTATAAACCAAAATCATGCCCATACATAAAAAGTGCTTCCTTCTACAACAGGTGATTATCTTACAAGACTGAGTTTTTTACGCGGCTGTTTGGGTAGAAAATATAAGTAAATTCAGGGAGGGCTTGGCGTCTAAGGGATTGCTGATGAAGAATATTTAGAATATTATGGGCTAAATAGAAGCTTTTGAAGTGAATATGATATAAGAGGTTGGTTGTATCACTGGTCTGACCCAAAGTAACTTTTTTTTTTAGTGCTTTGTAAGTCTGTCTTAAAGGAAAAGGAAGCAATTGGGAATATTAATCTTTATGAAATGCTGGCAGGTAATTAACCAGAACAGGATCAACACCCGTGTCCTCTGCAGCCTTTCAATGGATCCTGTCCGACCACCCTTCAGGGGTTCCTCTCCTGTGTACCCATCTCAGTGTGTACGGATGCCAGGTGCTTGGCCACAAGCTCCTAAACCTTTGGACTCAGCTCTGGGCAGGGCAGGACCTGCAGGCAGAGGCCATATATTTGGAAAGCCAGAGGAACCAAGCCCACAGAGTGGGCCAGCACAAAGGGTAAGACCGTATCTGGAAGCATAACAGCAGATTACAGGTTATCATCAGAGGAAATAATGGATTTCAAAGTGCTTGGAAAACTGTGAAGCCCTATAGGAAAACAGGGCTTGGTTTTTGTTTGTTTCCTTTAACAAGTAGTTACATCTTCTGGGCATGGATTTCACATCTTAAGACTTGCAAGTCTAGAAAAAGTGCCTCATAACATAATGAATGCTAGATGGACTTGGGTTAATGCCTTAGCTTCTATAAACATAAATATAAATACATTTATACATAAGTGATGGGTTTAAAGATACAGCCTTTGGCTCTTTTCTGAGTGTTTAGATTTTCACTCTGGGTTTGCCTCTATGGTATTAGCAGCCACTCCTGCCTCTGAGGTAATTATTGTTGAGAATGGTTCCTTTCAGAGGGCTCTTTGCCCAAATCTTAAAGAAAAGGATAATCTTCAGCTATTGCTTCTGCCATGTGTACACTTGCATGTATGTGCATTCTTAATCTACTTTTGTAGATTAAGACAAATACAAGAATGTATTTGTCTATAGTTAATAAATCACAAAGAATAAAGAGCAAATATAGAAAGAACCTAATAATGTATTTATGACAATTTTAAGTAGAGTTGACAGTGTCAAATGTAATGTATAAAAAGAAAACTTGATGACAGTGGTCTTATACTTTTACTCAGATGAATTGCTTGAGTCTTTATGTGGCAGCTCTAACTGGTGCAACAGCAGTAAACTTTCAAGACTGCTACGGGAAAACAGTAGCAAGTTTTGTTGGAGGTTGTTAAAAAAAAAAAACCCAAACGTCTGATATTCTTAAATGATCCAGCTTTTGTGAAAATTTATTAACCACAACACTTGTTTCCTCTTACTTCGGGTATACAGGAAATAAACTAGAAAAATAGGAAAGTTAATTCTGTTCTGTTGCATTCTTTTATAAATGTACATCAAATCATGGACTATACCTATTTATACTTAAACACCTAATGTGACATAGTTAAGTGTTTTTTGAAAATTATAAGGATTTAAACACCTTTTTATGATATTTTTATCCTTTATTGTAACATTTATAGAATTTGAAAAAGTTGATTTTTATTATTTACCAAGACACTAAAAAAACCATTAGTATTTCTGGGGTTATAAACTATATCGTAGAATGACTTTATT